TGAGGTAGCAGGACAGGTATTGTTGGAAGGATTAACTTTTGTTTTCATTAGTACTATTCTTTTCTATACAAGATAAAATGAGTAAAAACCATCGAAAATCATTAATTTTTTGTATTAACAATAAATATGTATCATCAGGAGCTTCACATAAGAATCTGTTAACTTTTCTTGCCAGATAATAGTTTACATTTCTTGTGTTTGTGACGATTGCTTTTTCAAAAAGCCAACAACTACGCCAAACCTACCAAAATAATACTTTATTAAACTGAAATATACTGACGTTTTGCCAAATCTGCTAACACCTGTGTTAAACTGCTGATATTCCTTCTCGTATATTGGTTTCGGCTTCTTTTAGGACATCTTCCAGAATAAAACAATCTTCAGTTGTACTCTCATGTGCTTCTTCTTCGATTTACTCGTTCTTATCTCCCAAAACTTCACCATTTTCAAGAAAAATTACAAAATTTGTAATTTTTTGATGGTAATAAACAAGCGTCATCATAACACCATGAACAGCCTATTTTAGTTTTTCATAAATCAAGTAACAACGACCAAAGTTATTCCAAATTGGATTTAGAATAAATCTGTCGGTATTGGAAAAAATAATGTAAGTAACACGGGATTGTTTGTTCCTTCGAAGTTCGAGAATTTTAAAGGCCTCGTCAAGTCTCCGGCTTTAAATCATTCTGTCAGGAGCAAAAAACATTTTTAATTATTTGATACTTAATGTACTATTAAACTCGTTCTGGCAGGACAGTAGTTCTCTTATCTAACTAAGCTAACGAATATTAAATATACAAAATGTTAGAAATAATTAACTCTTTTTTTTTATACATCGAAATCTGATGGTGCAAGTGCGTGCATTTCACAAAATGTAAATCTATATTATTTTATTATATTTAGACAATCCAAAGCTATAAAAATTATCAACTTTAATTAATATTGATTATAGACATACTCGCATTTAATTATTATGATTATTAAATATTATGCCAGAAACGACCAAGATTTGGGCAAGAACTCTATAATGGTATCCATTTATGAGACGAATGACAAAATGCAATGACTTTCGTGATTTTAGAACCACAGTATATTGATTTGTCGGCTATTATTCTCTAACCTCGCCTCACTCCCACGACTCTTGTGTGACTACCTATCATTGATCCACGTATCACTTGACAAGTGACCTACAAAACTCTGATCTAGACTGTTTAGTGCTACATTATTTGGATTGAAATTATTACATTGTTCGAGAAACTTACCTTACAAGAAATACATATGGATTTTTGAATTTTATAATGACATTGATTCTTTTGAATAAACAAGAATATAGGTTTTCTGCTAAACTAGTTGGTACTGCACTAACATCTGAGGTAAATAAAGATAAAACTGACATTTTCTTAATTTCTAACGTTACCTTTACATGACAGTCGTAAGTATTTGAAATTTTGTTTTGATACGTATTACAACGTCAGTATCAATGAGAAGACATTCCTTGCTCGATATTTCAGTTCATTGATGTTTTTCGAACCTAATCAAATTTGCAGTCGGTGCTTTCAAGTTTATTAGATTGTATGAATTGTTTGACCCTTTATTTGGACGAAAATTTCACATACACTGCTCTAAATAACTTTTAATAGGTATACAAACAAAATATAATTTTTGAAAGATGTTTAAACCAAAGAACTACAAACCAGCACAACATTTTTATTATGAAATAATACAAAAAACGATGATCAGAACATAAAAGTGATAAGGCCAAACGATTTACCAATCATTCAATTTTTCGTATTTTTCAGGAGTTTCTTTTTTGTATTTTTTCAGGAGTTCAGTTCCAGTATGAAAATTGTATGTTTTTAAGAAATAATTATGTATAGTTTACGTGTCAGTGCATTACGCTCGAAATTAGTAGAAATATTTACGACAGTTATTTGGTTTTTGCATATTCACAGACCACTTTTGAAAGGAAAAAGTCTTATCTTTCAGGTTTGAAAAGACTGGTTGGTTGACTTTTTGTTAAGAGGTATTAAGAAACGGCAAACATTTTCAAAGAGAATGCAATAAAGTCTAACAGAAATCCAAACATTATTAGTCAATTCTAAGTACCGTCAGATGAAAAAAAAAGGCTTACAGTTATTTAGACAAACCTTTCCTCGCTCCTGAAATATAGGTGAACAAATAGGCATAGATATTTCGAAAAATTATAAAATTAAATTTTGAAATTTTTTAGGCCTTCTAGATGTAAATAATTTATTTACACCCTGTACCATACTTTCAGTTTATCGTTCACACACGTCGGTTTATTACATACTCTCAACGTAGAAAATTCGATCCATTTAAAAAATTCCTATTACTGAGAATATAAAGAATTGATTGCAAAATAAAACGAATATTTTACAAAATATAGATTTTTTTTGTTGATAGAGAACAGAAACAATTAAGTACGTTGGGACAGAAATATTTATTGGTAACAAAAGAGAGAAATTGTCAAAAATAAAAAAACCCAACATTTAAATGTTTCTCAGCTAATGCTATCTGAGGCATTAGTAACGAGTGTTACCTTCTCTAGCACGAATAATACTCTGCATGCGTCTCGGCTCTCGGCATACCCTCTCTTAAGTGCTGAATTGCTCCCTGGTCCAACTGTTTCCATTCTTGAACGAGCGCTATACTATGCCCTGTTAGATTGACATATGCAGGAAGTCTGGCTCTGATTTGCCTTTTAATCATATTCCAGACATGTTCGATTGGATTCAAGTCCAGGTTACGAGCAGGCCACTGCATACGCTTAATTTGGACGGTGTCCAGGTACTCATTATCATTAACAACTCTGGCAATGTGAGGACGGGCATTGTCATGCATTAATTGAAATCTGTCGTCAGCAAAAGGGCCGAATGGCACAACATGCGGTTCCAGAATCTCTATTATGTATCTGTGAGCAGTTAGTTGTTGCCCCTCTAGGAGCAACAACTAACGTTGAACGTGCGTTCATTTGATTGCCGCCCCATACCACAATGGAACCACCACCTTGAAGAAAAATTGCACTGAGGAAAATGTGCACCAGACCTTCTCTGCTAGACTTTTTCACGACCATCTGGAGAACGTAGGACAAATCTCGACTTACCTGTGAAGAGAATTCGATGCCATTCTTCATAGTTCAATTCTCATGTTCCCATGCAAAATCAAGGCGGTTAACGCGATGCTCTGTCGTCAATTTTGGGCCAGTTGCTGACGGCCTTACTGTTAAACCATATTCCTGGAGTCTTCATCTAATTGTTCGTTCGCTTACATTTACATCCCTCACCATTTCAAGTTGATTTCTGGCTTCAACAGCAGTTGTATGCCGAGTTCCAGGTACCGTTACCGAAATAAATCGGTCGTCCCGGCCACTAGTGCACCTTCTTCCCCCTGATCTTTCACCTCTTCTGTATTCACCAGTTTCTCTAAAACGTTCTACAACCCGTTGCACTGTACATCTTTTCACTCCTAAAGTTCTTGCCACATAATATTGCGATCGTCCCTCTTGAATCATTGTAACGGCTTTAGCAGTGTCTATTGGGGTAAGAACCATAATTTCAGATGCAAACAATAATTATAATTAACACCAAATGAAAGTCAAACAACAATTTAAAGTTATTTGTTTAATGACTAACAACAAATGAAACTAAAGTTGTTTACTCAACAATGTCTGGATCAGAAATACGGAAAGAATATTCTTCTCAATATTCCTAAGTTGATTAGATGGATAATTGTTATTTATGTTATAAAAACACAAAAGGTAGCCATGTTCGATGAAAATTGCACTTAAGAACAAAATTCAATTTTGTTATTTGTCAGTATTGGATCGAATTTAAAATTGAATGGATCGAATTTTTTATCGGTGAGTGTATAAGTTATCGTAGAAATAAAAAATTTCGATTAATTTGTACCTAAACAACGTTGTCCTTTTGCGTGAGAATTTTAACGCAGTGTTTAGGGTTCTGTAATTGCTCTGATATTGATGAGTTTTTCATGCGATGAGTTGTAGGACATATGAATAGCATAAATGGACGTACGATTTTGTTGTTGTTGTAGGATTTATCTTCGAAACACTAAAATATTATATAGGGTAGCTTGGATTTTAAAGATTGAACTGTAACTGACACATATCCATGATTTTTACTTACAAGTATGTCTCGTTCATAACTGAAGAGGAAATAGGGGTATATATGCTTAAAAGAAAGTATGATTTTGCTATATTCATAAATACAGAAAACAAGCTCTATTTAAAAATGCATTAATTAATTATGTGTTAGTGCCATTTAAAAAAAATCAAGTTGGCCTTGCATTTCGAAAATAAATAAAGCAGACACAATTTTTTTTGAAAACTAATTAAAGCACAACTTCTTGTACAACTACACCTAATTTCAGATGATTTTTACGATTGGTTCTCAAGATAAATATTTAACCGTTTCCATACATTCTAGTGACCTGTATAGGTACTAATGTTGTATGCGCAAATTAACTTGAAGTTGTTGGAGCCGGTTAATTTTGAGTGATACTAACGTAGCGAAAAACCACTTTTAAAAGCAAACTCAGTAAAGAATCTTTTGAAATAGTGTTGATAAATGAAACTAAACTGAAAATACATAGGCAATCGTTTCAAACTCTGCGAGATGTGATTTCAATCTAGTGATACATTAAAAATTTAGCAAACTTTAGTGGTTACCAGGTAATTTTTAAAAGATTTGTTACATTTTTTAAATGGTAAATTTAATCTATTTGGAATTTTCAAATGATCGTCAATGTAACAACACGCGATGAAGAAAAAACATCATCTGTCCATTTATCAGCCATGTTTTTCAACCCTTTTATGCATAGTGCCCGATGAGAAAGACAACTTGCACATCCAGGACCCACACGAGCACGAATTTTTAATCGCACCCTATTGTCAAAGCAAATAAAAAACATGTTTAATACAGTTTAACCACTCTTGACGTTTTCTTTTTCTTTTTTTTCAGGAGCGTTATGAGTACTTCCCCGGCTTCGTCGGCGAGGAGATGTGGAATCCCAACACCAACATCTCCGAGGACTGCCTCTACCTCAATATCTGGGTCCCCCAGCGTTTACGCATCCGCCACCACGGCGAGAAACCTCCACAAGACCGCCCTAAGGTTCCAATTCTCGTGTGGATCTACGGGGGTGGCTACATGAGTGGCACATCCACTCTTGAAATCTACGATGCCGACATCATCGCCGCCACCAGTGACGTTATAGTCGCCTCCATGCAGTACCGTGTCGGCGCCTTCGGTTTTTTGTACCTGAGCAAATATTTTCCCAGAGGCAGCGAAGAGGCCCCCGGGAACATGGGCATGTGGGACCAAGCACTGGCCATTCGATGGATTAAAGAAAACGCGATCGCGTTTGGCGGCGATCCGGATTTAATAACGTTGTTTGGCGAATCCGCGGGAGGCGGCTCGGTCAGCATTCATTTGTTAAGTCCGGTGACAAAGGGGTTGGCGCGTAGAGGGATTTTGCAGTCCGGGACAATGAATGCTCCTTGGAGTTATATGTCGGGCGAAAGAGCGCAGAAAATTGGGAAAGTGCTGGTGGAAGACTGCGGCTGCAACGTTTCGTACTTGGAAACTCGCCCTCATCAAGTCATGGATTGCATGCGCGCGGTGGACGCCAAAACTATTTCTTTACAACAGTGGAACTCGTACTCAGGAATTTTAGGTTTTCCTTCAACACCGACCGTTGACGGGATTTTCTTGCCCAAACATCCGATGGATATGCTGGCTGAGGGGGATTATGAGGATATGGAAATATTGCTGGGAAGTAATCGGGATGAGGGTGAGTAATATTTTTTATAATTCTTTATTGGTACTGTACGATGTCTTAGATCGAAAAGTAAATTTGCATAAAATCATACATTAATAAATTTTGTTTAAACGAAAATATTTTACCGAATTAATTTTCTGCCGACTGCCCTCGGGTGTTATCTAGAATAAATTCCTTAACGCAGGATGCCCATTTGACCCTTTCTACTTTCCGAGCGTAAGCTAACGAAGTATTGTAATCGAGGCCATCGGGCGGCTGGTTATTTTCACATTTTCTGGATGTGTTACGACTCCTAGAGTATAAAAACAGCGGTATCCCGTTCCCGTCTGTCTGTCTGTCCGAATTTTTGTTAGATACATAATCTTCGAAACTAGCGGACCGATAGTTGTCAATTTTATATGGGTATTATCAATATATGTAGATGGTAAAACGGTAACCAAACAACGTTACGTCGCGAACAATCAAATACATTTTCATTTTTTTCAACAAAAATATTCTTGTTCAGTATTCTGTCTTCAAATGTTATAACTTGTAACTTACACACTAAAATAAATACAAATCTTAGGACTAAAAATAATACAAGGAAAAATGTAGGTACGCAATCTTGAAGAAATAATTAAAAGAAACTAAAACAAACTTTGCTTGACGCTTTATCTGCAGCATCGAAGAAGTGAGTGATTTTTGATTAGTTTTTTAATTGTTGTTATTTTCGTATCATTATATAATACTTGAATTCTTGATGTTAAAGAAAATTATGATATTATGACTTGAATGTGTTAACTATAAGTTTGTTATATAAATTAGTTCGGCAGTTTTTAACATAATAAATATTGATATTTATACATACTATATTTTTTAAGATAAAGCTATCATATTGTTACGAAAGAAACCCATACGCCCTTCTAGTATGTACGGCGATGAAAGACCTCGATTGCGAAACTTCGAGAAGGAGAGTTTGGGTTTAAATAGAGGTCACCTGCGGAAACGATTATTATTCAGTCAATTCAGTCCACAAGAGTACAGTCAAGTTGCACCGGAATTATTTTGTGCATAATTACCCACGCCGATTTTATTCACCGATCAACGTAACAATAGATATTTTGACAATGGATAAGTAGACAAATTGGATCTAGTGTTTTCAAATTAAATATAAAGTACGACGCAGATAGAATAGAAAAAAATGCACGACTTTGTGTTCTATACCTTGTAAAACGCTAACGAAATATGAAATTATACATTGGTCAAAATGATTTTATAACAACTTATGACCAAAAACGTAAATAGATCCTCTTTTCTCAGATTTTAATGTAAGTGTATTTTCGTTATCATATTTTCCCACAACTGTAGGCTTGTTTAAATTGGTTGGTTACAGAACAACTGTATTTCAGAAATGTCTTCTCACACTGTTATTGTTCTTGTTTTCGTGTTAGTTTTGTATTTTTATCATATTTTAGCAGTTTTTTCGACACAAACTGCTTTTACTGTATCTTATTTCCGACAAAAAAACGATGATGGTCCTTTGGCAGCAGTTAAAACTTTGTAAGCCAAAAACAGTGGTTAACACCGTGTACTAAGATTTCTATAAATAATTGATATATTGATTTTTAAAGATACGTGATGAAAAATTTGAGAAAAATTTTAAAAAGTACGATAATGGTAAGCTGTTTTAAAATAAATTGCTGTTGTGTTATACAGAGAAAGCTGTGGACAAGTTTCATTCAAAATTTCATAACGATAACTCTGTTAACTATAGGGATGTTACATTCTGAAAATTTAATGAATAAGAGGAAAAGGTAATATTTTTCACTCACAGTGAAATAGTGAAAAGCTTGATCGCGTAAACTATCCAGGAAAAAAGTCTCTAGAAAAAGAGTTTTTGATGCATAATTACTAAAGAACGGATTCCTGCGAGTAGCGTGGCAAACCGCCAGTGCAATCCTGCACCTGATCTTCGCGTCGGAGTGATTAACTTTCAGGTGACTAACTGTACGGTACAAAAATGTGTTAGTTTTTCCTTCAAATTCAAGCATATCCAGCGGAGTTCACACTACACATTAGACATAAACAACAAACATTTTATTATAGGCTCAGTTTTATGGAGAAAATATTGAGAGAACAATAATTGGTACATAGTGTTAATTTAGGCGTAGTTAACCTCATAGGTTCTGTTTTTGATAATTACAATACTCTAAAGAAGTAAAAAATGGTTGCTCTTATTTGAAAAGTATTCATATAACCACAGTGATTGAAACCACCTGTCACTAGATTTTGATTTTGCCATAGAAATTTCTCATCTTAATCCATATTACTGCGACGATTGATTACTAAGTCACCGCTAGAACTGGAACTACGAACTCTTACATTTGTACTTTTTTGTGTAATTTGTCTTTTGGAATTCACATTTTAACTATTTTGTTAGAAAACAATTTAAAAAAAAAGTGCGCCTGAAAAGCCTTAAGTTCGTGGTTTTAATTTAAATCACACAGAACGTGCAAGGCAAATAGAAGATTTGTAACTAGGTGGAGACAGAAAATAACTCTTCTAAATAGATACATTAATTATAAATTTATGTTGGTGTGTAAATGAAGCATTTAACTTTAATCAGGTGTATCCAAACACAGTGTGGAAGACAGGGTATCAGAAATCTGTCTCTGTTGTAATCACAGGTGGCAATACGGATTTGACAATCGTTCTCTTGGATTTGTAATTAATTGCCTCATATGCAAATTGCTTTGTTGTATAGCCAATTATTAACACAACGTCAGTCACACAAGTCGATCAAGCCGAATAAGTTTATCAAATTAATATTGATTTAGTTTGATATTAATTACAGTTAAATTACGTATGATAAACTGTATTAAGTTTTTTAGGAGAGAAAACTTCATTGCTTGCGTGATTCAAATCAACGAAAAAATGTTACGAGCGTAATTATGACATTCATTTTTTGATGGTGTGAAGAGTGTACAGAACATGCACAACAAACACGTAATATTCGAGTGATTATAACTTACACTTTTAGGTATTTAATTATTATTGGAATACGTAGCTTGGACAGGGTTAACATTGTTCAAGTTATGAGTAGGTACAATATAACGAATTGCTTCTCGAACTGGAGATTCAATAAGTTAAAGCATATATTTGATTGCCTGAAAAGTTGTCTACTGTTTTGGAAAGTTAGTCGTATAGTTAAGTAAATCTTTAATCGCTGAGCAAAAAATTGAAGTCAAATATTTTATTTTTAAAGCTTTATCCGTTTGCGAATTTCGCAGCACTGATACCGGAAGGACGCTTTTAAATAAAATTCCGTGGCATTAAATATCCGTATTATCAAAAAAAAAACATGTTGGTGATTGTTGGTGAGTTCAGAAGTTTAAAACTCTCGGATTGTTTTCCTTTTGTTCATTACTTTGTACCATAAATAAAAAAATCATAAATATTAAACATTACTCTGTAATACCATTGTTGGGAAAACGTTTTGGTCTGATTAACGTTACATTTTTGTTATAAACCAAAACAACAACTTCCATTTGTAGACTAGAAATGAAGATCTGGCTCCAGCGGACGCTAGACAAAACGATTCCATCCTACGGAATAAAATTTTTTATTCAAAGGAGTTTTCATTTTATTTCATTTCATTTTTAAATAGCTTATTATTATCATATTATCCACATTGATGTCAAACCTAAATATTGTATATATTTGAAGTGAAATTGTGCTTCACTACCCTACTTCAGTAGTATATTGGTTGTTTTCTTTAATGGTGGCACCGCTGTGATAACCTATAACCTTGAGCATACTTTATTTTTTATTCAATCGTCGTGAGATTAATTCCTATGCAAATTAGATCTTCGTACATAATTGGGTCTTAAACGTTGTGCAAAATCGCTTCAGTGTGGCAAATAAAGTAAAAAATCAAATAAGTAAAACATTTATTGAGTTCCAATGAGTTTTAATCGGCAATTTCAACTCGCATTGTCATTTACATATACATAGATTCCACAAATCCCGGGATCATTGCCGATATATGGTGGATGCTAAAATTATTCCGGGTTTACACTGAATATAATGAAGTCGCTGTAGGTAAATAAAAATTGCAGCTTTAATAAATTTAAATTCTCCTGTAACTTCTTTAGCACAGTTCCGTTGGATACTTATTACATTTTGTATACCAAGTTCGAATGACCTGATCCTAAAAAGAAGTCGGGTGTGGACACTCTTTTCATAAAAAAACATCCAACAATTCTTTATCGAAAAATAATGTGTAGGTGTTGTCTTTTAAATGCGAGTAAACTTTGTTGGGAAAACATCTCGTTTTTTGGCAGGATGAATGTTTCTTCAATACAACGGCTCAAGACTTATTTCAGGCAAAGACATTTTTTTAAGTCGCTACCTTTGGCTCTACATTTTCAGAATGTAATATGTCTATTATTTCCAGAGTTATTGTTATGAAATTTTAAATATAGCCTGTCTACAACGTTCTCCATATAACACAAAAGCGGTTTTTTAAACAGTTTATCATCATTATTCTTTTTAAAACTTTTGATTTTGTGTTTTGAAAAATCAAAATTTCAAACTTTGGAACTTGGTTTTCAGGTTTCTTTGACTCTGGAAGCCACAGAAACATTTCCGACAAAAAAGTCAACAATGGTCTTCCTGTAATTTCCAGACGGAACATTGGTGAAAATCGCGTTCCCAAATTTCCATAAATAGACATCGATTTTTAAATTTAAAAAATTTCACCAAAATTAAAAAAAAAATGTGCTATTTAGGAGAAAGTTTATATTTCATAACAACAAGTCTGTCAATAGTAATATTTTTTGTTGTCAAAACATTAATGCTATTACTAGTGTTATCTTACGCATTTTCAAAATAATAGAGTTAATTTTGCGAAAATGTTGATATTAGGGGAATTTATCGTGTTTTTAAGATGAAGGAAATTCTTTGTAAATGAATTTATGGATTTATCTTTTTATTACCTTGGAAGATCTCCCTTAATTAGTGTTATCGAAAAA